AATTGCCCAACTGATCAGAAGGGTGAGGTCAATAAAAGATTAAGCTTCTTCGCTTCCGATTTCAAGAAAAGATGGAAGGATTCAAAACGAGTAATTAACAAATTTCTTAAAACTAATCAGCACTGGCTTGATGCTTCAATAAGTTTTCACAATTTCGGTTTTTCTCCTAAAAAACCTGCCAGAAGACCAGTGAAAAGTTTCGAGGAATGCTCTGAAAGAGCTAAACGGCTCAAAACCGAGGAGCTGAGATCCACCCACTCTTCACACGAATTAGCATTTGCAGCTCAGATGAGCTTGCGCGCCGAAGGGTCTTCTCGGCCTCCAAGAATAATGAAAGACATATCTCTAAAATCACAAAAAACGGCTGGTAAATGTGAAACAGCAGAAGTTAAATACAAGCCGCTTTCCGGCGACCAAGCTTTGTCACTGTATGTAGAGGCAAAACTTTCACGGAATCAGTACAATCTAATCCGAGAATGCGACAAAGATAAGTTTCCATCATACAAGATTGTTCAAGCAGCAAAGCAAGGATGTTATCCAGTTAGCAGCAGCATTTCTGTGTCTGAGACTTCAGGTGAAGTGAAAGTACAAGATCTACTCGATCACACAGCACTTCGTATAATAAATATGCAGCAGAAGGAGTTGGAAAGTAGAGTGAATAATGATGTCACTATGCTACTTTTGATTTGTAAGTGGGGATGTGATGGGTCGGGACAAGCAGAATATAAGCAAAAGTTCAGCGAAAGCGACGATGGAACAGATACAAACATCTTCATATCATCATTGGTACCATTACAACTAGTATCAGAAAATTATCCTCAAATTATCTTCTGGCAAAATGATACACCCTCTTCCACCCGTTATTGTCGCCCGATAAAATTCATTTTCCAGAAAGAGACCACAGAACTTATTAATGCAGAAAAGAACTACATCGATTCTCAAATTCAAGCTCTAAATCCGCTGACATTCACCGTCAACACTATTGAAATGAAGGTTAACTACATCATGCTTTTCACAATGGTTGATGGTAAAATATGTAATTCTATTACGGAAACCAAATCAACCCAGAAGTGTTTTATGTGTAAGCTAACATCCAAAGACTTTAATGATTTTGAGAAAGTGTTGGCGGCAAAGGCTGATTCGTCCAATTTGGAATTTAGCCTGTCGATATTGCACGCGTGGATAAGATTTCTGGAATGTGTCCTTCACATTTCTTATAAGCTTCCTGTAAAACAGTGGTGGGTATCGGACCCCGATAGTAAAAAAATTGTAGCGATGCGAAAGAAAACGATTCAGGATGATTTTAAGTCGGAAATCGGTTTGCTAATTGACCGGCCTAAACAAGGACTGGGCAACTCTAATGACGGAAACACGGCCAGAAGATTTTTTGGCAATTTGGAAAAATCAGCAGAGATTACAGGATTCGATCTATCAATTATGCACCGATTCAAAGTAATACTTCAAACCATTTCCAGCGGGTTGAGCATCAATGTTGGAGAATTCCGAAAGTATTGCGAATTAACAGCGAGAATGTACATCAAAACGTATTAATGGTACCCGATGAGCCCGACGGTTCATAAAATACTTACTCACGGTCCAGATGTCGTGGAAAAAGCACTTTTGCCGATCGGACAATTAAGTGAAGAAGCGCAGGAAGCAAGAAATAAGGATTTCAGAAGGTAAAATTACTATTATATCTCGTTTTTCTTATTTAAATACATTTTCGTTGGTAATGTTAAAACTTACGACTGCTTAAAGTATAACGCAATGTATCGAATTTCTACATAATCCCAAAAAAAAATATAGAGATTTCGAAAAAAGTTTACCATTTTATCTTTTTTTTATCTAGATATCGAGAAAGTTTTTCGCGTAAGGCATCGAGGAAAGCAACGAACCAAGACATCCTGAACCTTTTATTGCTATCCTCAGATCCATTGATTACAAGTCTGCGAAAAAGATCGAAGAAAAATTCAGCCCAATTTGATAGCGAGGTATTGGCATTACTACAACCACCGGATTCATTTGACGATAGTGACAATTAAGGAAATGATTCAACTGATTTCTAAATACTTTAATTTAAGAGATAGTTTAATCTTTAAACCATTACTGCTTCTGTAATTTAAAAAGTTTTTACGAATAAAAATTATACATAACTGACAGGTTTCCTTAATAGCAGAGATACTTGTAACGGTTTACAAAAAGTGAAATTAAAAAAAATCATCGAATATCATGTCTTCAGTTTTCTGGTATATGTTAGACGATGACATGAGCTAACAAAAGAGACAAAGTCCAGCTGCCCTTAGCTGCCCTTACGAGAATCCCACCCACCTAAAATACAGGCAAAATATCATGTTTTTCGAGAATATTTCACTAAAACCATTATAAATTCCACAAATAGTTCAATGAAAATTTGCACCTAGTTTGTTTTCGTTTGAATAAATGCAGAAACCAGAGCAAACATATGAAAATATACAAAAAAGTTAACAAATAAGAATTTTGGCATCATATTTTTCAATATACCCTATATCTCCAAAACTAAAGGTTATGGAAGTTTTTTGTATTCTGCAACTTTCCTCCATTTTAATAAATAAAAAACTTTGTTGAAAACACCATACGTCTAGGATGCTTTATTCAAAAGTTAGATTCGCGCGCCATCTCTACGACCAAGTTGCGAACTAATTAAGTTATTCAGAAGAAGCGCTTAACTAATACAAACAACTTTACCGAAAACAGTATTCTGATTGGATGCTTTGTTCAAAAGTTATTAATTTTTTCCGAGAAAATCACTGATCTGCCCCAGTGTGCGTTGCCCTCTCGAGTGGGTCGGCTTGCACTTCGGCTTCGCTGGAACCGTCGTATGTGCTGCGTGCGATTGGTGCCGACGAAGATCTGGCTCAGCTCGATTCGCTTTGGCATCGGACGGTTTACCACCATCGAGGAAATCGACTACATAGCTGAAAAGTGCATCAAGCACGTGACTCGACTCCGAGAGATGTCCCCGCTGTGGGAGATGGTCCAGGAAGGTATCGACATCAAGTCGATCCAGTGGTCGCAGCATTAGAGCGGACGGGTCGGGGCATATTTTAAAGAGAGATTTGATTTTGTATGTTCTGCTGTGTATGGTTGAATTCAGTGAGGGTTTTTTTTTTAATTGTTAATCATTGATTGTGTTATTAACACATCCACTTTTGGTAGTAAGTAGGTATTGAGACGAGAGAAAAATAATGTATAGCTTTGCTACATATGCTATTAGAGACAGCAATAAATCTTAGACAGTGAAATCATTGTGAGTATTTCATCATTCACTTGGCGAAAAAACTTCCTATCAGCGATTGTTTGAAATAGTATAAACTTTGTTAGTTCCCGTCAAGGACGGCGTTGTTACGACTACGCTAAATTCGCAAATCTGAGGTATTCGTGGACTGCCATCTCAGATTTGCTTTGGCGCGGATTAGTTCCACTTAGGGTTAATTCAACTAAGTTTCGATTCTAATTATTTGAAGACTCCAGGAAAATCTACGTTTAGAAAGACCTTCTATTACACGGACAGAAAATTGTTTGCATTGAACCAAACAAAACTTTAGTTGTATTTAAACAAACAATTCCGGTTGAAATTATATTGCATTTTATTGTTTCTATAAAACTTATTCAAATAAACTCAACATAAGATTCTTTTTGTTTTAATAAGCCACTTTTCAATTGCAACTATTGTAAAAATAACAATATTCTATTATTAAGCCAACAATAGTTAATTTTAGTTTAGCATTTATTTGCTGTGTCCATTCCCCGGGCCATGAATACAAAAATAACTACCACCCATTCCCTCGTTTTCACCTGGACAAAAATGTAAACAATAACAAAAATTTTCTCAATTTTTTTAATTGTGAATTTCGGGAAATAAGTACGAGATTTCCGAAAATCTTAAGACTTGAGGTAAGCAAGTAAGCTGCAGTTCAAGCTGCAGTTGTTAAATATAATCAATTTTTAAGTTTTTTTTTCCTTGATTTTTTTTTTCGTCGATCTTGTTTTCCGTACTGAGTACCAATGCTCCCGACGCCAGGAATGCACCTCCCACACCTGGACCCTACATATCGACCCATCAACTCATGAACCGGTGACCAACGGCTTTACTTCCCTTCCGAAGGAAGGCGTGATCAGTGATTTTATGCCTCAAAAATTCAATTGCAATTCTGTTTGTTGTCACAAAAAAAAATCGACATTATTTTTGAATCAATAAACATATTGTTATTTCTACTGCGTGAATTGTCAGCCTTCATAAAATAAATTTGATTGAATCAACAAGAAATCTCTTTTAAAAACAAACATATTTTTCTTGTTGACCCAGCTGCCAAATTTGACAGCTTACGTCAAAACCATGAAAGCTCTTGTAAATTCGAAAAGATTTTCTTTTTGATTTAACAATCCATGGGTTTTAAGGGACAATAATGCTGGATTGTTGAAACAATAATGATTTCTTTTTGCAGCCAAAACAAAATGAAATACTTATTGCATTTACGTCAAATATTATTACGTTTAAAATATTTTTTTCTGCGTGTATTTAATAAAGAAGTAAAGCAGTAAAGTTATTAATAGTTGGTTGGGCAAGCTAAAATATCATTTAAAAAAATGTGTTCAATGTCGATAAGCTTTCCGCAAAATCCGCACTTCAAAAGCTATAAAACCGCACAAAATTTGCGACACTTGTAACAGCCCTGCAGTTGGCTTCGGCGTGCCATAGAATACCTAATCCACCTAACCGGACCTGAAGAAACGGAAAGGAGCGCGACTGGGATTAGACGGGCTAGCCTTATGAAGCTCTCTACTGACATACAATATAGCATGGTTGCAGCAACCTTATATTTCACCTATTTGTCCCTAAAGATCACTAATTTACACCCGACACCCTAGGTAGGATAATGTCATCGCAAATAACAACAATTCCCGTTGAATACATAGTGCGAAAAATGCTCTTGAATTACCCCAAACCGTCTCATCACAACCTACGCCTCGGTCAGCGTGGCCCGACCGATCGTTTTCGGCATCTTTTTATTGGTGGAATCCTCGAGCTCCTTCGGTTTGTAGTAATGCGGTGCCGCCTCCAGCAGCCACTTGCTTTCGATTTCAATCACCGACCGCATGTACTCCTTCGTCGTAAACACCAGCTCGTGGTACAGCACCCAACGAGGCAGTTCTTCGAACAGTGCCGAATTCGGATGGATCATCACCGTCTGATTGTGCTTGGCCGTTTTGTAGTGACCCCCCCTTGGAGAGCCGAGCGACGTGATAAAAGTACCCGGCTGTAATAGCCTTCCGGATGTTGGTCGTTTCCGGCAGACTGGAAACCATTTCGATTTCGACTCGCTGCATTAACCCAACCAGCTGCTCCCGGACATCGCGAGCTCGTTTCATCGAACGGAACTGAATGAAATTTTCGTAACACCACTGAGTGCTGTAGTCCGATTCGGCCCATTGGTTGTAGACCTGCAGCAAACTCAAGTGGTCCCCATGCATGTGGTTGAAGTTCTTCCGGGCCGTATCTGCGTGGATGATTTTATCTTTCGGTCGGTAGAAGATGGCTCCATTCACCGATAGCATTGCAGCGATGGCCACCACCTCCTCGGAACATTTGTACTTTTCACTAGCAAGCAGCATTTTTGCCATCATGGGATCGACCGGAAATTCCGCCATCCGTTGTCCAAGTTTAGTCAGTTCACCGTGGTTATTCAATGCCCCTAGGGCGTAAAGTTGCTCCAATGCCAAAACCAACGTTTCATGTGGTGGAGGATCGAGGAAATCGAAATGAAGCAAATCGTTGATTCCAAGAGCTTTGAGCATTAGCACGGCATTGCCCAGGTTTATGCGCTGAATTTCCGGGACGGTGTTGTCTTCCAGCTCGTGTTTGTATGCCCAGGCTGTGTACAGACGAAAGCACTTGCCAGGGGCAACGCGCCCTGCTCGACCTGCACGTTGATTGGCAGGTGGAGTTGGATCGAAAATTTTCGCCTGCATGTCCGACGGCAGATTGGCATAAATGGGAAGGATGAGTAGTTCCTTGAGTTTGGAACCCAACCGCTTGACGCGATCCTGGAGCATCTCCTGGCAGGCTTCGATTTCCTCTTGTTCTGGAACGAAAAAAAATGTAATTTTTTAACATCGCATAGAAATAGACCCACTTACCAGTTAAAAATACAAGAATGTCTCCAAGAGGCTGAGTGGCATGCATCTGTAGAACCGACACCACACATGCATCGATATAATCTGCTTCCGGTGCTTTGGTGTAGAAGACATCAACCTAGAAGAGAAAAAGTTAGATTTTACAGCAAAACACAAAGCAAGTCAAATCTAACTACGTACCGGAAAACGACGACCAGGAATACGGAATATGTTCGCATCATCGAAGAAATCCGAAAACTTTTCCGCATCCAACGTGGCACTGGAAATCAGTAGTTTCAAATCCAACCGAAACCGCGCAATGTCCTTCACCAATCCAAACAGAATGTCCGTGTGCAACGTACGCTCGTGAGCTTCATCGATAATCATCACACTATACGAAGCTAGGTCCGGTTCCGAAAGAAACTCCCTTTGCAACGTACCATCTGTCATGTATTTAATGACAGTCCGCTCGAATGTGCAATCCTCGAAACGAATACTATAACCAACTTCGTTGCCCAACTTGACGCCCATTTCCTGTGCAACACGTGCCACCACGGACATCGCTGCCACGCGACGAGGCTGAGTACATCCAATCTTCTTGCCGTCGTTTGTAAACCCAGCTTCATAGAGATACTGTGGAATCTGTGTCGTTTTTCCCGAACCCGTTTCTCCTTCGATAATAAGAATCTGGTGTTCTTTTATAGCGGCTATGAGATCCTCCTTGAATGGAAAAACTGGAAGTGATTTCTTCGTTTCCTCAATGTCCATCTTCTTCCTTTCCGCCTCAGATACCGGTGCTTTCCGGTCCTTTTCTTTAGTTCCATCCAGTCGGAGTGCCTGGACGAAATCAATCTGATCATCCAACAGCAGTTCATACTCTTCAGCACCAGCACCACTTGCGAACCTCTTCGTTTTTGAAAGTAAATTTCACGCACAGTCTGACGTTTGCTTACGGATTTTACCATAGGAGTAAAGAGCTATAGATTCGCCGTCAAGGCCAATAGCATCAACTATATACTTTAAGCTAGTACATATGAGTAGATAGTGTTGCCGTGAGGTACACTCGAAAATTTCAAACGTAAGTGCGTCAAATCAAATTTTGAGCCGCTCCGTCTGTCACTTCGTTTGTGACAATAGTTCTATCACAAACGAAGTGACAGACGGAGCGGCTCGAAAACTTTGGTGACTAACCTGTTATTTCAATTTTTCAGTGTACCACATGGCAACACCATTACTACTGGATTGTACTAGAGTCGGTGTATAATGAGTCACGCCAAGAGTGAAGCCAAGTCTACCTATTGAACTGTCAAAGCGGCTACCTATCGTGCAAAGTAAATAAACATTACGATGCTATGAAAGGTTCACGAAAGGTATTGCAATAAAATACAAAATATAATCGAAGAAATGAGCATAAACACGCAGTGAGCGTTAAATTGTCATGGGATACGCTCGGTAATGATTAGTAATGAGAATTTCTACTATTTTTTGTTAAGATAATTTGACAAAATCACTGATATAATGATTTACTACAGCCGCAGTATTTTTTCTCTCGCTAGAAGTCATTTGAAGTTGTTGTAGAAGTCCTCTGTTGCCAAGTGAAAAGAATTGGAATCTTTCGAAAACCGTGATGCGAGTTCAACTGTTTTTCTCTTGGCGTGACTCATTATACACCGACTCTAGATTGTACTACATGGCAACACTACTACCACAAACGAAGTGACAGACGGAGCGGCTCGAAAACTTTGGCGACTAACCTGCTATTTCAATTTTTCAGTGTACCACATGGCAACACCACTACTACTAGATTGTACCACATGGCAACACTACTACCAACAATCAATACGAAACTAACGATTTTAAATTGGCTCACTACTTGACTAGCCTATTGGTCCCAAGCAAACGATTAACGTACCCTATTCTAGTTGAAATTCTATTACTACACTATGTTTGTTTTGATTCGCTATGAAAGTTTGACAGATAACATCAGGGGTGTGTGGATTCATGCAGAACATGCAGGGGTGAGTGAAATAGCTTGGGACTGCTTGGGACCGTTGTTCTGGTACTGAGTGAGCCAAAAATAATAATGATTTTCTTCGGGACCCAGTGGTCTTAGAGTTACCTCTATGCTACTACCACAAACGAAGTGACAGACGGAGCGGCTCGAAAACTTTGGTGGTTAACCTGCTATTGCAATTTTTCAGTGTACCACATGGCAACACCACTACTACTGGATTGTACCACATGGCAACACTACTATTGGATTGAACTAGCATTTTCACCAAATGTACTAGAATATTTTGGTTCTATCTCTTTCACTCTACTCAAAACTGAAATGCATAAAAAAATGACAAAATGATACGCACTCTTTGCACACTGTCAAAGAATCATTGTACACAAAATCAACTTTGTTCAAATCAAAACAAAAAAACTAACCCATCTGGTGGATGATGGCACAAGCTTCCAAGAAAATTCTATTACAGTGAACCACATTATTTTAATGGATTTCTTCGCCAGTTAGTCGTCTGTCACTTCGTTTGTGCTACTACTGGATTGTACTAGCATTTTCACCAAATGTATTAGAATGTTTTGGTTCTATCTCTTTCACTCTACTCAAAACTGAAATGCATAAAAAAAATGACAAAATGATACACTCTTTGCACCACAAACGAAGTGACAGACGACTTACTGGCGAAGAAATTCATTTAAATAATGTGGTTCACTGTAATAGAATTTTCTTGGAAGCTTGTGCCATCATCCACCAGATGGGTTAGTTTTTTTGTTTTGATTTGAACAAAGTTGATTTTGTGTACAATGATTCTTTGACAGTGTACAAAGAGTGCGTATCATTTTGTCATTTTTTTATGCATTTCAGTTTTGAGTAGAGTGAAAGAGATAGAACCAAAATATTCTAGTACATTTGGTGAAAATGCTAGTTCAATCCAATAGTAGTGTTGCCATGTGGTACAATCCAGTAGTAGTGGTGTTGCCATGTGGTACACTGAAAAATTGCAATAGCAGGTTAGTTACCAAAGTTTTCGAGCCGCTCCGTCTGTCACTTCGTTTGTGCTTTGCACACTGTCAAAGAATCATTGTACACAAAATCAACTTTGTTCAAATCAAAACAAAAAAACTAACCCATCTGGTGGATGATGGCACAAGCTTCCAAGAAAATTCTATTACAGTGAACCACATTATTTTAATGGATTTCTTCGCCAGTTAGTCGTCTGTCACTTCGTTTGTGGTTCTATTGAATCAATTCGATGTGATACGATATCGTTTACGAAAGAAATCATAGCAAATTCACGACGCTCTTTTAATGTTTGGATATTTATGAGCATACACCGAGCTGCGTAAGATCACAAACGAAGTGACAGACGACTAACTGGCGAAGAAATCATTTAAAATAATGTGGTTCGCTGTAATAGAATTTTCTTAGAAGCTTTTGCCATCATCCACCAGATGGGATAGTATTTTTGTTTTGATTTGAACATAGTTGGTTTTCTGTGCAATATGATCTTTGACAGTGTGCAAAGAGTGTATCATTTTGTCATTTTTTTATGCATCTCAGTTTAGAGTAGAGTGAAAGAGATAGAACCAAAACATTCTAGTACAATCCATTAGTAGTGTTGCCATGTGGTACAATCCGGTAGTAGTGGTGTTGCCATGTGGTACACTGAAAAATTGCAATAGCAGGTGCGTCGCCAAAGTTTTCGAGCTGCTCCGTCTGTCACTTCGTTTGTGGTAAGATGGCATAGGAAATACAGTCCAACCTAACTTGTGGAGTGCATACAATAGAAACTGCTTTTGAACGGACTCTATTATTTCTTCGTGTGTGATTGAAAAAGGAGACCAAACTATGCTGCAATATTCTAATATCGACCTTACATTAGCAATGTACACGGACAGAAAATTGTTTGCATTGAACCAAAAAAAAAACTTTAGTTGTATTTAAACAAACAATTTCGGTTGAAATTATATTGCGTTTTGTTGTTTGTTGTTGTTCATATAAATTCAAAATAGGATTCTTTTTGTTTCAATAAGCCAATTTTCAACTGCAACTGCTCAGTAAATTCGAAAAGATTTTCTTTTTGATTTAAAATTCCTTGGGTTTTGAGGAACAAAAATACTGGATTGTTGAAACAATAATGAAGCCAAAAGCCATTAATGGGTACTCGCCAGTTACAGTGCACAATGAGCGCGTTGCGGCAAAAGCGGCATTGTACTAAAACGCGTTTTTTTCAAAATTTTGGAAAAACGCGGCACGGCAAAGCGCAAACCAAAACAATTGTGTGTTTGAATCGAATCGGAATTTCAGAAAATGGATTCTATCCATGAGATTACGGAAGAGGAATATGTTAACTATTTTTTTATCGGAGTAGTTAAGAAATACCCGGCCCTATATGCGAAAAGTGACAAGGCGTACCAGAATGCTGGAAAAAAGGAGAATCTTTGGATGGCTGTCAGCAACGAAGTTAAAATACCGAGTAAGTTGCTAGGCTGATTAAATCAACCTGTTGAATAACTTTTTTAACTTGTGTAATAACTTTTTAATAACTGATCGACAATTTGTTTTTTTGTCATTCCCGGTTATAATTTGTTTTTCTTCCCTTTCAGTCGATGAAGCCAAAAAAAAAATGGAAAAATTTGCGTGACCGGTACCTCAAGGAGTTGCGGAAGGTTGAGCAGACAGCGACTTCCGGAGCAGGCAGCTCGCAGGTGCATCAACCAAAATGGTGTTTATACAACGAGCTATCATTTCTATCCAGCCATCGCAAACGCAGAAGGTAGCGAAAACAAATTTCAAAATATATAAAAGTAATTTAACATGATTTCAATATTTCAGCACTACCAGCAACTACAGGGTTGATCCCCAGCCAACAGAAGGAGATTCAGAGCCAGACACCCAAGAGCAAAACATGACTGCCCCGGAATATATTGACGTTGAGGAGTTAATGGATGTTGAGAACAGCACTCCAACAATGGTATCATCGACACCAGTGAAGAGGAAGAAGAGATCGGACGCCCTGGATGAAAAAATCCATGGTATATTGAACATCGTTGGAGACGTTG